ACAGTTAATGCATTAAATTTAATAAGAATTTTGAATTTTGCTTCTACGGAAAACTTATTTTAACCCTAGTATAAACCGGAAGTTAAATGGTGTGAATCAGAAAAGAGCAGGAAGTTAAACAGCAACAATACATTTATTCTCTGCATTGTGTCTGAATATTTTATCACTGTATACTTTGGTTATTATGGTAAACAAGTCAAAATGCTGAAAATTTTAATTACAATCTCTGCCCTGTAGAATTCTGTTGTAGTGTGAGTTTGTTCACACTCGACTACTTACAACAGCTAATGCAGAAACGATATGCGGGTTATTCTATAAAGTATTTTTATTTTTTAATATGAATTCGGTTTGCTTTTGGACCACTAATTTAACATGCCAAGTTTAGGTCTGGATCGGTCAACTCGTTTCGGAGGAGATGCATTTACAGACAAAAATGTTTCCTTGATATTGGATACTTATTTCATCAGTATGGCTCAATATGTATAGCACATATGTGAAGAACGTCTGTACCCTGATTTTTATATTCAAACTGGATAAATTACACGATAGGTCTTTTTTTATACAAGTTTGTTCAATAAAATAGGGTTTAAATGAGAATTTCAATAAGGGATTTAAAAATTCAAATAGAAGGTTTGTTGCCCTGAAGCTAATTTTAAGTATGTCGCAGTTTTAAAATCCAAAACAAAAGTTAGTACTTTCCCTTATAGCCCCGCAAATAGTAAGTTTTTACTATATGAATACAATGCTCATTAATATATTTTCAGAAATTTATTATGAGCATTTACTATATGAATAGAATGCAAAGTTATATATTTTTTTATATATTTATACATTTAAAAATATATAAAATGTTATTTAAATTGCGGAGGTATAACGGAAAACTACCCAAGATGTATATCTTCCAGAATCATTAAAACCTTAAAGAATGTGCCACTACACTAATTAGAGTGTGCTTTAAAAAGTGAAATTTCAACAAAATTAAAGTTTAGAATTCGGATATTACGCGTGAAACAAAAGATTTGTTCGTAACACGATATATGAGCGAGCCCCACCATGATAAATGCAAGTCTCGCCCTTACCATGATTTTTTTAGTCATGTTTGTGTTTCACTGTTGTTGTTACAAGACCACTGGTTGTAATATTATCAACCGTGCAAGAATGTGTGGAAGTTGTAACATTTTGAGGTACTATCAAAGGCACATGTGTAGATAAATAAAAGGAAGCGGAAAACGACACCATGACGCTGAGAGTTGATAGTGTTAAGGCCTAGATAGCCTCTTTGTTTTACCGAAGCTAGTCAGCTTCAGTAATTAGAAAAAAATTGTTTTACTGTGAAAAAAAAAAGCAACCCAGTTTTCTTTCTTTTATTTGCTTATCTACATACTATAGCACAATGTACCTAAAAAAAATTAAAATATTTTCAGTCCTTTTCCAGAAATGTAAAATATCTTACTTCAGCTCAAACCTTAAGTAATGTAGTAAGTTTTCCAGTATCATATTTCCAGAAAGAAGAGAGTTAAGCTAAGAAATATTTTCAGTGTTACAATAACATCAAGAAAGCTTAATAGAAAACTTATGTCACACGCTATACTTGAATCATTTCCAAACGTTAACTTCACACAACCGGTTCTCCATTATCTAGATAAACCTTTCAACTAGAGTGTTCATTATTGGATTATGCCTACTACTACTAATGAAAAACAGCAATGTCATAACTGTTCACCAATACATTGTTTGAAAATACCGCTTCGCTGAAATGTAAAATTCTGAATGGAAAAACCAACTTAAAGGGGGGGGGGGAGAACATCAGTATCGAGGACAATCCCGGCTCCAGCTTTTCTTACGTGGGAGGGCTGGCGAGACATTTAATGGAGACAAATATAAAATTAGGTTTCTGAACAGTATAAATTTGTTTTTTTTTGGGGGGGGGGTGACATATCAGCTTCCCCCTCCGCTTGACCTGGCCTTAAGCAGGTGATAAGAGATAGGCATAATCAGTGATTGTGGTGTGGTATAATGTTATATAACAGCTATTCAATTTAGACAGCCAGACTTTGTTTATATACAAGTAAAGAAAAAAGTTTTGAAAAAGAAAGTATGCTATGATACTTACATACACTCACAGAGCTTGTGACTCAGTCATTACACAGACATTGTTATAAAAGAAAACACTGTATAGTATTGTAAAGTTCTAATGACCTATTGAGGAGGTACTTAAAATACCATTTCGAGCCATCCCAACATAGGCAGTGCTACCACCTGCCTGGTATCGCAGGAAAGTTTGTTTGTTTGTTTTTGAATTTCGTGCAAAGCTACACGAGGGCTATCTGCGCTAACCGTCCCTAATTTGGCAGTGTAAGATTATAGGGGAGGCAGATAGTCATCACCAGCCACCGCCAACTGTTAGAATACTATTTTACCAACGAATAGTGGGATTGACCGTCACATTATAACACCCCCACAGCTGGAAGGGCGAGCATGTTTGGTGGGACGGGGATTCGAACCCGCAGATTGCGAGTCGAGTTCCCTAACCACCTGGCCATGCCGGGTCTTCGCAGGAAAGGCATGCTTACATGTCCGAGTACTGTGAAGTCTATGACAAAATAAATGTTATATCTACTGAGGAAAAGCTTTCCGATATAGAATTCAATTGATGTTATTTCTCTAAATAACCAAATCTTAACGACATCATTTGCCCTTTTCTTTAATAATCTTCTTGTTATAAAAGCTTATATGACATGAAAGTGAAACACAGATTATTAACTGTTTGAAATACATATGTTATTATGAACGGTTCATAAACCTTTATATTAACTAGCTATCTTTGTTACCTACCCTTATGAACTGATTGGTTTCTCCAAAACGCTGTTCCTTTGTGGCATGTATGTGTGCCTGGTATAGTACAGGTTGAGCAAAAAGTCTGGGCACCCACCCCTCAAGTAAAGATAGTGTACACGAGAGAAATAATTTACTGCGTATTGACATATATCATATTGACACAAACTAACAAAATGTTTGATTAATAATCCAAAATGTCTGCCTTTTGGCCTTCATTTTCATGACATAGGATGATACGTCTGCATGTGCGATGCGACATCCTCCTTGAAATATTGTGTGTGACCTTAGCGACATTTTCAACAACGGTTTTGTTTAAAATTTGTCTTTTGCCACAATCATTACTAAAACACGAACAACTAAATTGTTAACTTGAGCTTTAAATATGGGGGGGGGGGGCACTCTGTGCAATAATGAGACATCAACTAACTAATTTACAATGCATAAAATACATTTATACATATAGCTGATGTGAAGAATCGATGCGCATTTAACTAAATTTAAGTCTTTAAGCTAGCCGTAATTTGTAAATAGTCAACGTAGACGAACTTCCCCTACGGCAAGTGGCAAGATGGACAATTACGTCATATTTAGTACTTAAAGTGTTTACTGCTCTCAACAAAAGACAAACTCTTCATAAAAATAATGCAGAACAGAACAAGTCAGGTATTCATTAGAGGGTAATAAAATTCTCCCAATAGAAAAGTATATTTAAATAGCTACACTGATTGTCAGGTTGATTTTTACTTTTAGTTTCGCTCTAACTAAGCATTTAATAATAATATATACTGCTGCTCTGATCGAAAGTTAATATTAATTAAAATAAAACTTATTATATTTTATACACCATTTACTTTTAATAAACTATATTTTAAAATAAATGCTTGGTATTTTTTACAATAAAGTTTGTGCTTTAACATAAGTGAAGGAGTACTATATTTACACGTGCAACCATTTTGGTGCAATAAAGTACGTCACGTTACCCCAACTCATAACGATTTATAATGGCTGGAGACGGCTTAAATGGGTAATGAAGAAAAACTTTAATATAAGTTTAACA